CTACTACTACTACTACTACTACTACTACTACTACTACTACTACTACTCACTACTACTCACTACTACGGCTGCCACTATACCACTACCGCCGCCACCGCCACTTCTACGACTACTACGGCTACTACGCCTACTACGACCACGACCACGACCACGACCACGATCACGACCACGACCACGATCGATGACGACGACGACAACGGCGACCGCGACGACACCAACCACGACCACGACGACGACCACAACCACGACGACGACCACGACCACGACGACTACTGCTGCCACCTACGACTATGCCACTTCTGACCTTTCTTCCCTCTGCGTGGGTGTCATTTCAAAGAGTGAGACCACATGTGCATATTGCAGTGACAATTGCTCTACACAATGTCAAATACCTCAGCAAGGACAAAGGAAACTTGACCTGCAAAGATTCTACCATGATGTCACGACAGCAAGTGTGCACAGATGTTGCGCAACTAACAACAGCCGGCCATACATCTGTACATCAGCACATCCAAACAGCACTGCAGAATCTGACGTAAGCACGCCATGCAGACAATGAGTTCGCCCATCCATCGTTGCACCCGCTCGTGATACAGGATGAGCCTTACAGTTGCGAAGCCGTTTGGTTCCGCTGGCAGCTGGGGAGGGAAGGATCCGGTTGTCGGCTACGGCTAAGAATATGTTCGATTTAAGTTCCCGGAAAATGCGAGCTACGCAAATACTAAGGGTCTAACAGCAAATGTTAACCCCAACATACAAAACACATGTTCTTGTTCGCGCCCTTGTATGTCCTGCCACCAAAAAGCATATGTGGCATTGCGTTGCTGATTCGGATGAATCCCCAAATCTGAGCTATAACGTACCAATCACCAGGATTGAATGGGCGGAAGTCTTCCAAAGCAAGAGACGCGCAAGGTAGCATTACGTTGCTGCGCGCACACCCATCAATGGGATGATGTGGTGCTGGGTCATTGGGCGATGTGGCGCGTGGTGATCTTTGCTGTGGGGGCGAAGTGTTCTGTGCCCGCAGTATGCTGTAGCAGGGGGAGATGCAATGTGGTGATGCGACGCGCGCTGGCTTTTGATTTGGTGACACACAATGTGGCGATGGTTTGCGCGGCGTTGTCCGTACTATTCTGAAAAAACATATCTACTTTTCCCTCCTTTTCTGTGATTGTCTCGGGAAACCACAAGCTTTCTGCGCTGTCCAGAATCAATTTTTGTGGCAAATGTAACATGATATCTATCAGTTATATACATATAGTTACACATGTATATATATATATATATATTAATACTGCTTGCGAATTTCGTTCAGGCCACTGATCAAGGGCCTTCCTCTTTCGCTCAGACTCAGAGGAAAGCGACCGTCCGTGAATTTGAGCTTCGCATGGTAGCGGAGCCTGTCACAGTAAAGGTCGCCCGGGTTCCATACTTTCTCGGGCCGACTTTGTTGGCGCACGCAGCCATGTCGGATCGAGCTGCGGTTCACGAACGATGGGGCACCCATCTATGATGGAACGGCAGGATTACTATATGTTCTGTATCGCCACGCTGCGTTGACCAGCGTGGGGGCGTTGGAATGAAAGAAACGAATGTTGGCAGGGCCCCGACTTGAGAGAGCAGTTGCCAATCATCCACAGAGGTGCTTGGCGGCTCCTGAACTTAATGACGAACAAGGCTCAAGCTCCAACATTGGCTGGGCCTGGAGGGCCCATTTCCAAGTTTTCCTATGTAATGTGAAACGCGGAAAAGGGGAGAGTCTGAATCTGAACCGTCATGATGAGTCGCTGTACGATGCCCGTCGGACACTTGCAGAACATCCACAACAACACGGAGGGGATGACTAGGTCCTCAGCAGGCAAGCCATCACTACACAAGACAGAGAGTTATTACAGCCGCAACCGCCAACCGTTCAGGCTCTTCCTGAAGATCCATGGGGCCGCTGAGATGTGGTTGGTTTTGAAAAGATCCCCGCCGCAGCGGTCATTCAGCGGGTGGCTCAAAGTATCATGTCCCAGAATTTGCAGCCAATGAGGCCGGCTTAGATGTTGCTGCCGCGATCAGGCGTGGAGAGCGTGGAGCAATCACCACGAACCTCAAGAACCAGCTCACCACAGATCATGTGAAGAGAACGCCTTACGTTTGGCGTGGCCAGATGATGATCTGAGAAAGCGATCAGCAAAGGTTCTACTGGATGAGGACTTCGAAGATGCCAAGGGTGGGAGCCATCTGCTGACGCAAAGTACTCGCAATCAGCATTCATGTTCATGACATTTGTTGCCAGCCAGTTCTCTTGAGCAATTTCAGCTCTGGGATCTCTCGGAGCTGTCAAAGACTGTTCGCAAGACGACATGTTTTTGAAGACGGAGGACACCTGGATTTTCCACTGGCCTCCGTGTTTTTGCACGATCCACACCATTTCAGAGTTTGCAAGACGCACCTTCGGAGTCGGGACATGCCCCTCTTCAGCGAAATTTATTCGGCGAGACTTGTTCCGAACTGTCGAAAAGGGCTGGGGAGGCTAATTTCAGTGTGTCGACTGTCGGGGCAGCCCAAGGGTGCACACTCATTTGTTTCAGTTCAAAAATGTTCATGCGGTTTCAAAATGCGATGTTTGATTTGTTATGTGTGGGAGAGACAGGGTCGTTGTTTTTGTCTCAGCTCATTTCCAGCCGGCCGGCGGTGAATAGGCGGAAAGGCAGGTCTGTGACTAAAGATTTCTCCTTTGATCTGGGGTTTGGTTCTGATCCGGGGCTTCCTGGATCTGCGCGGATTGCGCGCAATTGCTTTGCAACGTGCCACCCTGGGTTTAAACATATTGTGAGGGGCTTGATGCTTCGCCTAATCTAAACAAAAAGCGCTAACCTACAAGAATGCGCGGGCCGTGAGACTATGGAGTTTGAATGGGACATTTCCGGGCATTGCAAGGTCCTAGTGGGTTGCTGGGAGAGAACTATCACACGCGCACCAAAGCGCCACGATTACACGCAGTTTCGATATTGCCGCCAATTAAATAGTTGGGTTGAATCTGAATGAAATTTGCAACCTGTTTGTTTTTTCATTGTTCCTACCCACCTGCTTCCTAGCATTTCGGGCGCATTGCGCCAGCCGGGCTCTCAGAACATCAGACGATACTCGCTTGGCGCTGAATCTCTTTCATGTTCACAGCTAAATCAAAACCCCAGTGCGTATGTTGGTTATACTGTCTTGCCGGCACACATGATCAAGATGCTGGATACATCAGTCAGGGCTGCTTCTTCAGAGCCATCACAACATGTCGCGCGCGCAAGCTTTGAGATTTGTTTGCCTCTAGACTCTAGAAGACGCTCGCAAGAAGTCTTGGATTCGAGAAATTGTTTGATTCAATGATGCCAAAAACATGCAGGTCAAGAATGTTATTCTTGCCAAGGTCTTTGAGAAATTGCCCGACCATATGAAAAAAGGCAATCAGCAAGTCGCACAGATTCCAGAACATCACGTCAGCTATTTTTACTTGAGAAGAGGGAGACACGAAGGGTAGGAAAGTTGGAAGGTGCACGGGGGGAAACCACAACGCGCATACATTGCATCGCAAAAAAGATCCGATGAATTGGATCCACTTCGGGACGAAACGGGGGCATCTGTATTGACATATCAATGCCCCGGGAGGTTGGGAGTGAAACATCAATTCCAAGCGGTTTGGTGTAAACGGTGGTTGGTGTAAGCCGTGGCTTGGTGTAAACAGTGGTTGGTAAAAGCCGTGGTTTTGTGTAAGCAGTGGTGGGTGTAAACCGCGGTGTGGCGTAAACGGTGGTGGGTGTAAACCGTGGTTGGGTGTAAGCGGTGGTTGGTGTAAAATGTGCTTTGGTGTAAACAGCGGTTAGTGTAAACGGGGGCTTGGTGTAAACGGTGGGTGGTTGCTGGTTGGAGTAAAACGTGGTGTTGTGGACACGGTGGTTGGTGTAAACCGTGGCTTGGCGTCAACGGCGGTTCGTGTAAAATGTGGCTTGGCGTCAACGGTGGTCGGTGTAAGCCGCGCAGGGGCGTACAGGGTGATTGGTGTAAAACGTGGCTTGGTGTAAACGGTGGTTGGTGTAAAACGACCGCGCAGGGGCGCAAACGGTGGTTAGTGCGAAACGTGGTTTGGTGTAAGCGGTGGTTGGTGTAAAATGTGGTTTCAGATCTACATCCGACGCGCTGCGCCAGCAAATCCAGATCCGAGCAGTAGCAGTGGACGCGCTGCGCAAATGCAGAATGACTCGCGCCAAATAAGATTCATTTGAAAAGTAAATTCCAAGGGGCGGGGGGTTTGGATTGAAAATCAATTCCGAGGGAGGGTTGAATCGAACTATCAATTGTTAGACCCGGAGGCGCCCACACTTGCTTCGCAAAACAAACTCAAGGTATCCCCCTGAGGGCTACCTTTCGTGACAAGCCGTAAGTTCCTTCCATTTCACCTGGAGAAGGGGCAAGTGAGTGGGGCATTCTTGCAAGGTCGCCGATTCAATCGAGAATTCTTTCTGAACCTCTTCCTGAGATTTGCAAAGCAATGCGCCTTCCAGAAGACAGGTCTGACAACTGCCCTGTGCAGCATACGGATTGGTGGAGGCACCGACCAAATGGTACTGCGCTATCAACGCCTTCTACTACAGGGCTTAACTTTCCCAAACAACAACGAGATCCATGTGTGTGGGGCTTCTTTGACCAAGAAAATTATCCAATTGGTTGGATCTGTTCACGTGTGGACGGTTTCATATTTTCTGTGAATTTGAGTGATACAAGGTGGTTGGACGTTCGTCCAAAGATTCAAGAGAAATTCCGCTGGGGTGGACCTGGTGGGGGTGAACAAAGTGCTGAGGACAGCAAAAGCAAGAGGAACACAAAAAAGTTCATTCACCCAATCACTCCAGAAGATCTTAGTAGCTACTTGGGTGGACGCAGCGCATGCTAACCGTCCAGACGGAGGCATGCTTATGGGTCGCTCTTCATCAAAACTATTCGAAGGACAGCTTGATGTGGTCAGTCCTATTTGTTGGGCCTCTGCAAAGATTACTCGAGTATGCAGCGTGCAGATCCAGTGCGTCGCTGAAACAAGAGCTACAGTCGATGGCGATGAAAATGTTTGCAATCAGATTTCAACTTGCTAACTTTCTGGGACATCTACCTGACTTTCGGAATTTGGGCGAATATGTGTCATTGATCCCTGGCGTGCTGATATCCGATACAAAGAACCTATACAACCGTCAACCGCCTATCCCAAACGATGTTGACATTGAGAGGAGCAGAGAAACACAGCGACATCGAAAGCCTGTGCCTAAAAGAAACAATGAATGAAGCCGGACTCTGATGAGATGGGTCACCGGTGATTCCCAGTAGCTTAACCAAGGCTAACGAGGCTCACCAGTGTTTACTTGTTGGTTCCCGCAATTGTCGTTGGATTTTTTGAGTCTGAACTGATCTCGGGTCGCAAAAGAAGATCACAAGGCTTGTGCGCCTTAGAAACCGACAAAGAGAGTGCATCTCATACATAAAACTTTAAGATTTGGGGAGCGGTGCGAATTACATTCAGGTCACACCAACTGTTCGCAATATTGATGATCAAGCAGCTTCAACCTTCTCTAGAGTCTAGAGAAGCTTTTGCGTTTGTGCTGAGAAAGGTATTCTTGTCTCTGGGAACGAAGGCAATGTTTCACTTCTGGTTCTGCTGCTATTTGCTTCTGTGAAAAGAGCTACCTCCCCGCACCGTGAATTTAGAATTTGTTGATGGTTGATGTCCAAAAAGGCCCAGTGCCAAGTTCACGCAGCCATGTCAGCTGCGGCTTCAAAACGTCACGCGGCCATCATCTTGAGTGGAACCATGCAGGGCTGCCATTGGAAGTTGAACCCCCGCGTCGCAGTCCCGGATGTAGCGGGGCTACTGTACCAACTGAAACCCAGCAAACGCCCATGACTAAATGTCCTAGCTAAACCTCTTCGGGTCCGGGTAACTTCAATTAAACATCCTCAAACCACCCTCAGACTCGATTTGACATCTGCTTGAGTCGAGGCGTTGCCAGTGACAATTTGCCCTGGCATCTAGTAATTTTACACGTGCGCCTAACTGCTGCCACGATGCTTGTGCTGGAAATGCACGGCCATTCCTGATGGTGAAATCATATTTAGGTGTCTCATGGTTTCACTTGTCCTTCGTCTCAACAACCCAGTCTTCAAAGCCGCAGCACTCACCGATAGATCTCTATGAGTCCGTTGAGGCTCTCACTTTTGCGGAGCTCTGGTATATCTGGACCTTGGCTACCAGCTTTCTTGTTGGGAAGCTAACTATTCAACAGTTGTTTCCTTATCGTGGGCTCTGGCAGGCATAAGTGGCAATAATAGATCGTGCACCCTCCCGTCGTTTCAAAGTTTCATGTGCTTGCATGTCGCGAGAATCACCCGCCAGTGACCAATTCCAGGTGCGCTAGCTGACGTCGAAATCCCGCAGCAACTCCATGTAGAACCTGCAAAATGACGCCGCACCATCCCCAATCCACGTACTTGCCACCAAGTTACAGTAGGCAAGATCAACATGGCATCAATCTTCCAAAACTCTGCAAGAAAGGAACGCCAACCCAAATATCCACTCGGCTCTTGGCTGAACTGATTTCGTTCTCGCATCTTCAACCTAGGAGTCGCCGCAACCGCCTTGCGGTCCCTTGTTCCCTGGGCCTGAGCCAGGTTACTGTGTCATGCGCCTGGCCTTATTGTTGAAATCTCTCAAAGGCAAGGGGTCCTCAAATGGTGACACATGGGAAATATTTGTGGAAATATATAGGTGATTGGCTCCGTCCTCGTCATGATCAATCGCAGCCAGAAAAGAGGAAAACCAAGTATCTGCATCCTGTCAAGTCATTGCGCAAGAGGGAACCCTGTATCCAGAAGGAATCTGAAGGAAGGAATCCTGTTGTTTTTAAATGTTTTGTAGAGACAAACAAAAATGTGACGTGGCCAGTGCTGGCAACCAAAGGGTGTGGATAATTAAGTGAAGGTGTGCAAAAACCCGTAGCGACACATAGAATGATCATGCACTTGAAAATCCTTCGCAACACGTGGATTGGGTGCCCAACCGGTGGTTTCTAAGCATACCAGCTTCAGAGCTGACTGAATGGCAGGCAACCAAGGTGAGCTGATTGCCTGTCGCTGGTTTCTTTCACTCAACCACCCACCCAACCACCCACCCAGGGAAGCGCTCTCGGCTATGTAGCCACAAAGCACGGAAGGCCGGAAGATGCCGGAAGCATGGTACTCTGACTGAAGCTGCAGCTCTTTTCTGCTGGCAACAGTTTTTCGCGAAAAAGGGTGGTTTGTGTTTCGCGCATGCAGTTGCCAAGTTGCCATTTCTTGTGGTGGACATGGTTGCGATTCTGATTGCACCATTGTCCCACCATTCAACTCTCCCATGCGAAGTGCAGCCACAAAAAGCACCAGAATACTTGCAACTTGTTTGTCTCACGTTCAGCCAACATACATACTGTATCAGACTAGATTGACTTCAGAAAACGTAGGCGCCGCTGAACACCAAGAGCGCCCTACCTTTCTCGCTCGGGCACTCAGCAAAAGGGGCTACGTGACTGACACGCAGCGAAGTCTCAAGTTCCTTCAAGGTTATCTTACATACATGAACATGGGGTGGCATAGTCTTTACATCTCAACACCCCTCCGCAGCTAGGGTAGATTTCACCCGCTGCTGAGTTCACTTTCTGCGCATGCCTTACACGGTGCCAAGCCATCTTCGATAGCATTGCCCTTTTGACATCAGAAAGACGCGGCTTCTTGCGGGAGGTTTCTGAACAAACTGGCACCAACGGCTATGGTACTTACTACCTTTACCAACCACATAGACTTGCTCTGTGGATTTTCCTTTCCTTTCAAGTTTGGGATGCGCTGCGTCCTCTCCATCGAATTCCGTCTGTATGCACATGGCTTTGTTTCTCCTTGGGCGCACGAAACGTTTCATCACAGCCATGAGTCCAATGACTGCAAACACATGGACCAAGAACATGTAGCGCAAAAACCATGAGAGGTCTAGGCTGTCTTCTTGATCCTTGGCGGTTTGGGCTCGTGCGAGCAGTATGCAGTTTAGCAAACACGCCGCGCGAAAGCCCTTTTTGATCGGCATGATGCTAAGCAGCTCGCTAATCCTTGCGCCTGTTAGACTTTTCGTCCCCAAGTCTGCCCATTCAGCTTATTTTTGCCGCACATAGTCCTGCAGCCACAATTCTTTTAAGCTCAGACGCTTTACCTTTCCCACTCCTTTGCTTCCGGCTATGCCTTTTGCAGTGGTTGAGTCTGTTCGGAGCACAAGTTCGATCTTCTCATAACCGATCTCCTCCAGAACATGCTTGGACATCAATCCGTTGGCTGCTCTTCGTGTCATAGCATAGAATTCATGCAGTTTCGCCATCCGAATCGCTCCGAGAGCGATGACATACTCCTTCGAGTTTTCTTGCGACTAGCCCAATCTGAGTCTGTAAACACATCAAGTGTTGTGGGTTCATCTTGCAGCTCATACAGCCAAACCTCCTTCGGAATAATAATTGATGAGATAGCGACGAAGTCTCTTCAAACGGAGCGTATGAAGCTTCGTTGGTTTGCTCATACCAGAGGTGATCTCAGACAATGCATACTGGACGCCCGGTCGATCTAGACTAAGATACAAGGCTGTTCCTGCAGTACGTCTGAAGTTGTTGGCCTCCTGCGCATCTAGCAGTTCATCAGCTTGTCGATCGTCTCGGCCGGTTTCCTTGCTGCGTCAACACCTTTTGCATTCTTCAAGCCAAGCGCTTCGACAATGATCTTTGCACACTTGTTGTCGGCCTCGCAAGAAAAGCCTTTGCCTGTCCAGCGGATTACACGGTGTAGATGCGACCCGTGGCCACCAAACTCTTCTGGCCCGATCCTTGGAAGGATCTTCACTTCAAAGTTTCTCATCATCATTGCATCGACCTTGTCAAGATCTTGAGCTTCACCTTCTGCTAAAAAATCATCTCCGTGGCAAGAAAGCGTTGCTTTCCACTCATTGTGGTAGAACAAGCCGGGAACGCTCTTGACTGCATGAAAGCCGTCACCTCGCGAGGAATGCTCCGCAAACTCTGACCACATCCTTGAAGCTTCTGTTCCATTCATTGCCTTGAGAAGATACCAGAGATGCTCCCCATCATACAAGTCGCTTGGAGGAATTACTGCAATCTTGCCACTGATGGAAAAATGCTACAGAGACATCATATCGCGCTATGAGCTTCCGATGTTCTGGGCTTCCTCTTTTTCTCGTAGCTGCAGAAGACACTACCATGCGATGCCTTCAAAGGTGGTGCGCCTGAATATACATCGTCTCGAGGTGTGTGGTTGATTTCCTGTGCCACACATCGAGAGCGAACTCCATCCGGATCGTCGGGCAAGGGTGTCCAGCCATCAACCCATCTGGACTTCGCAACTTTGAGCCCCCTTTGCTGCACTTGTTCCCATGTGATATCTTCCTTTACTTGACGCTCATCCATTTTGTCCAACTCGCGACCACGAGCACGAACGACCTTGTCGCGTGGAAGAGGTTGGCCTTTCTCTTCATCATACGCCACTTCACCGTGAAGTAGCCTGCCCCACTCAGCGTATGCTGCCACAGGTTGATCATGCAATGTCGGCCATGCAAAAACCAACTCTTTGACTGGAAGGCCCCCTTCCAGGTTTGCTTCAAACAACTCTTCTACACTGATTTCAGCCGTTCTCTTTTCGCCCTTCGACTCTTCAGTCTTTGGGTCCTTACGGGTTGCGGGGCTACCCGCAGACCCAGCAGCCGCGGGGTCACTCGCTGGCCGCTTTGTTCCACGCATGGACCCCTCCATGTCTCAGGCCGTGCCCCAGGTAGTTCTAAGTCTAACTGATCCCGTTCGAGTTCGAGTTCAAGTTCGAGTTCGATGCGCGAGATTGCGTGGATCGAGCGAGAGGGGGGTGGACCAGTTCGAGTTCGAGATCGAGTTCGGATCGACACACACAATTATCGAGCCGGGGGGGTGGACCGGTTCGAGTTCGAGTTCGAGTTCGAGTTCGGATCGACACACAATTATCGAGCCGGGGGGGG